ACATGCACAATCCCATACCATTTCATTTATTTTATAATTAACAGTGCTAATAGAAGCACATCTAGAGAACCTCATAAACATGTATTCACTCATTCAGCAAGTGTTTGAACATCTACTCTGTTACACACACTGAAAGAGACTACTCATGCTGGATCCCTAGTGACATAGTTCTTTCCTTCCATTCCCAAAGGACAGGGCTTTCAAGAGGGTATAGAAGTGGGGTCAAGAGTGCACGGCAGGAAGGAGCACTGGGGAGGCCCACCTCACGTTCCACCTGCCACCAGTGAGCCTTCTAATCTCCTGGCCTCGTGGTCCAGTCTGATCCACTCAGCCAGTCTTCTTCACTCAGGTGTCATTTTCTCTCAGGAACCTGTTTTTCTCTCAGCAATGACTTGTTTTGAGGACCCCTGTCCTCAACATGTCTGAACTATAAATAAGCCAAAATGAGTTCATTTGCTTTCTTTCCCAAAAGGCACCTGAATCTCATTCAAAATAAGTATAAATGGACATCTGTTTTCAGGGTTCCTGAACATTCTGTGAAGGGCAATAATACCACAAACATTGTAAGACATTAGGGGGTAGCTTGCATGAACACGTAGAGGATCTAATAAGTCTTATTTCTGACTCAGTCAAAAAAACACCATTACAAGTGCTTGAATTGGCACTGTTGAATTATTTTGGGAGGGCTAAACTGCTGAATCAACAGTAATTCTGTAACAAAAAATACACAAGTTTGTCTCTTTTGTTCTGCAATATATTTTTCAGACAGGCATGAAACTCGGCTCCATAGAGTCATTCAGGAATCCAGGCAGATAGTTGCTCTGCTATCTTCAATGGATAGCTTGCAAAGTCATTCTAGTTCACACCATTTCATCCAGTAGGAAAGGGGGAAAAGGAGTGAAGGGCAGACAATGTTTCACAAGTCAGCCCTGAAAGCAGCACACACTCTTCCCCTTATCCACTAGTGATAACCTGGTCCTGTGGCCACACCTAGCTGCAAAGGAGACTGGGAAATGTAATCCCTGGCAGAGCAGTCCAGCTACAACTCTAACACTAGAACAAGGGACATCAAATTATAGCTCAAGGATCAAATCCTCAAGCTCTCTAAGGTAGGGAAATAAGACAATTAAAGGACAGAGAGGAAGGGAAGTTTACTTTTCAGAAGGGAAGTTTACTTCTCACCACAACCCTTTTGTATATTCTGAATTTGTACAATGTTCGTTCACCTATTTTTAAAGCGATTAATTAAAAATTAAAACAAGAAAAACCACATATACAATAGTTTGCTAACCAACACCTCCTCTGAAAGACACAATCTTTTTTTAAAGGCCATGGAGGTTTCTTTAATCAGATATAGTCAGTTCTACTGATTTGGGAGCCATTTTCTATTGCTGTACTTGCTTCCCTGCTCTGCTGTACGTCAGATTCTCAGACATATCTCATTTCTCTTATTTTCTTCGTCAACTTACCAATTCTATTTTAGTCCCCTGGTTTTCTTGAAAGTTCCTTTTTCCAGATAGGATTTATCAGTATTTATTCAGTTCTCTTACACATGTTGAACAGAAAGAGAAGCAAATCCGACCTCAGAGAAAAATTAAGCACAAAGAGACAAAAGGAACATTTCCTGATAAACAACTTTGAAGAAAAATCCTGCAAGGGAACCAACCCACCTTTTGGTTAAAATGATGGCAATCCCACTCACACAAGCTGAAGAGTAAAGGGAACCCACTGGTTTATATAACTGGGAAGTTCAAAAGTTGGGGCTGGCTTGAAGCACAGAGCCAGAATGCTCTCAGAAATGGCATAAACACAGGACTGGGAGGGAGCACAATGGGACAAAGGGCAAGAGTAGGCAGAGAGAAACCCTCCCAGACAGCATTCCTGTCATTTCTTCACCAGAGAAAAATGGCTTTGGTGGCAACAGTTGTGTCACCCAATAAAGTCAATACAATCAACTGGTTGCAGCTATTTTACATGCACAATCCCATACCATTTCATTTATTTTATAATTAACAGTGCTAATAGAAGCACATCTAGAGAACCTCATAAACATGTATTCACTCATTCAGCAAGTGTTTGAACATCTACTCTGTTACACACACTGAAAGAGACTACTCATGCTGGATCCCTAGTGACATAGTTCTTTCCTTCCATTCCCAAAGGACAGGGCTTTCAAGAGGGTATAGAAGTGGGGTCAAGAGTGCACGGCAGGAAGGAGCACTGGGGAGGCCCACCTCACGTTCCACCTGCCACCAGTGAGCCTTCTAATCTCCTGGCCTCGTGGTCCAGTCTGATCCACTCAGCCAGTCTTCTTCACTCAGGTGTCATTTTCTCTCAGGAACCTGTTTTTCTCTCAGCAATGACTTGTTTTGAGGACCCCTGTCCTCAACATGTCTGAACTATAAATAAGCCAAAATGAGTTCATTTGCTTTCTTTCCCAAAAGGCACCTGAATCTCATTCAAAATAAGTATAAATGGACATCTGTTTTCAGGGTTCCTGAACATTCTGTGAAGGGCAATAATACCACAAACATTGTAAGACATTAGGGGGTAGCTTGCATGAACACGTAGAGGATCTAATAAGTCTTATTTCTGACTCAGTCAAAAAAACACCATTACAAGTGCTTGAATTGGCACTGTTGAATTATTTTGGGAGGGCTAAACTGCTGAATCAACAGTAATTCTGTAACAAAAAATACACAAGTTTGTCTCTTTTGTTCTGCAATATATTTTTCAGACAGGCATGAAACTCGGCTCCATAGAGTCATTCAGGAATCCAGGCAGATAGTTGCTCTGCTATCTTCAATGGATAGCTTGCAAAGTCATTCTAGTTCACACCATTTCATCCAGTAGGAAAGGGGGAAAAGGAGTGAAGGGCAGACAATGTTTCACAAGTCAGCCCTGAAAGCAGCACACACTCTTCCCCTTATCCACTAGTGATAACCTGGTCCTGTGGCCACACCTAGCTGCAAAGGAGACTGGGAAATGTAATCCCTGGCAGAGCAGTCCAGCTACAACTCTAACACTAGAACAAGGGACATCAAATTATAGCTCAAGGATCAAATCCTCAAGCTCTCTAAGGTAGGGAAATAAGACAATTAAAGGACAGAGAGGAAGGGAAGTTTACTTTTCAGAAGGGAAGTTTACTTCTCACCACAACCCTTTTGTATATTCTGAATTTGTACAATGTTCGTTCACCTATTTTTAAAGCGATTAATTAAAAATTAAAACAAGAAAAACCACATATACAATAGTTTGCTAACCAACACCTCCTCTGAAAGACACAATCTTTTTTTAAAGGCCATGGAGGTTTCTTTAATCAGATATAGTCAGTTCTACTGATTTGGGAGCCATTTTCTATTGCTGTACTTGCTTCCCTGCTCTGCTGTACGTCAGATTCTCAGACATATCTCATTTCTCTTATTTTCTTCGTCAACTTACCAATTCTATTTTAGTCCCCTGGTTTTCTTGAAAGTTCCTTTTTCCAGATAGGATTTATCAGTATTTATTCAGTTCTCTTACACATGTTGAACAGAAAGAGAAGCAAATCCGACCTCAGAGAAAAATTAAGCACAAAGAGACAAAAGGAACATTTCCTGATAAACAACTTTGAAGAAAAATCCTGCAAGGGAACCAACCCACCTTTTGGTTAAAATGATGGCAATCCCACTCACACAAGCTGAAGAGTAAAGGGAACCCACTGGTTTATATAACTGGGAAGTTCAAAAGTTGGGGCTGGCTTGAAGCACAGAGCCAGGCGTTCAGACATGCCCTCAGGGTCTCTCTCTGCTCTCAACCTGCTGGGGGGGGGGGCATTCAGTAATCAGGACCTATTGTGGCCATAAAGATGCCCACCAGCCACCCCAAATTCCTAAGCCCCTAACTTAACAGTCCTGATGGAAAGAAACTTTCTCTCTGAACATCAATAGAGCAAATCTAGAGAACACTCTAATGGGTTATTCTTAGACCTGTCCAAGGGTGGAGTCCAAGTCTGACCCAGTTTAAGCTATATGCCTTTACCTATGGGCCACCAGGATAATATGAAATGTGCAAAGAAGAGCTCCCCACAGGGCATTACATGAATGCTAAGTAGGGAAAAACAACAAATGTCCTCTATTGCTTCTGATAAGTCAACACTATGACAACTGTATATTTTAATAGACTTAGAACTATAATCCTTACTCCCTATACTGATTAGAAGTAGGGGGTTTTCAATTTCAAGGCAAGGTAGCTGGAAAGTTCACACTTACACACAGTCTGGTTTGCACTGTACTAGACATATTTTTTGAATACCAGATTGGAAACCTCATAATTTGGCAAAAAAAACCCTCCAAAAGTTCAATTTGTAAGTCAGATTACAATCTTTTGGGCCCTCTGAAATACTTTGCTCAGGACAAAGAATTTCCATAGTGCAGCCTGCCAAAATTTATCTTCTTCATTTTAACCACATACTTTTCAAATGTGCATCTGAAACTCAACAAAGGTATCAAAGTGTGGGATCTGTATTTAGCTCTAAATTATGAAATAACTTAAGAGGTTATATTTGTATTTCTCTTACCCAATATCCACTTATTTTCTCCCAGAATATTCCTGGTCAGCTGACCCAAATGGATACATGATATTTCCTTAAATTGATTGATTCTTGAATAAATGACTGCAGTTGTCCCTCCATAGCACAAGGCAGAGGATCTATATATAAATGAAAGTTTCTTAATGAGCAGAAAACTCATCTAAGAGCAAAAGTTTGGACAGCCTTGCTATAAGAAATTACTCATTTTTACAGTACAATCATGAGGACATGAATGAGAGCTAGTGCTATATGCCAGTTTAAAGCCAAACACCTTTTATCTGGAATTATATGACTAAATCCAAATTTCTAAAACATCTTCAAGAAGGAAGATTGATAAGTGCATTTTAAAGCTATAGTTTCGCCTACAACTGAGATGGTCTTGGTTAGTATCTTAGTTCATCAAGAGTGACACAAAATCTTCCAAACAGAATTAATTTTAAATCAATTTTATTTAAAAACCATATATAAATTAGGCCAAGTAACACTCAAGCTGAGAGGGCTCAAGCTTTTTCAAGAACACATAATAGTACAAAAAGACTAATAACATATTGTGATTCAGCTCACAGGATTAGCCCTCTTGAAACTGTAGCACAATACTAGCAAACATTGTATGGGCACCTTTGATGGGCACAGAAATTCACAGAGCAATGAGCCACACAGCCTTGCCCTCAAGGAGCTTACAGTATAGCTGGAAAGAAACAAATATCGACAACAGACACAAAGTCCACACATCTACCATAACAAAAATAATTACTGGCATAAGTCATTATATGTTTAACAAATAAGCCAAAAAGTTTCAACCTGACATATCAAAAACAAATTTTTTTTTACTTGTTCTATTTCTTTTGTTCACTCATGTTTCAACTCAAATAAAAGATGAAAACATAATGCCAACCCAAATATGCCATGTTTGCTGTCCCAAAGGAAAGGATGGATTGTTCATGTTCTAGAATTTCTCCACGGTTCTACATCCAGGTGTTAAGTTCAGTAGTTCTGACTGCCAAACCGGTGTACAAATTCAGACAGTGAGTAGACAGCTCCCCATCCTACCTCAGGGTCCATGCTGATAAAATCATTCAGGTTCATTTTGGAATCTAAAAAAAATACATGAAAGAAATACCCACTGAAAGCACAACTAGCTTATTAATTTGACAGCAATAAAACAACCCAGAAGACCAAAAGGAAGGAAAATCACTCATACATCACATATGCAACCACATACTTTTAAAGGGCTCAGTATCACTTCTGTGATATTCCTCTCTAGATCCAAACCTCACACAAACCCACCTTGAGAGGCACTGTACAAAATAACGGGCCAGAACTCATCAAAAGTATAAAGTTGTGAAAGAAAAGGTAAGAAGACTGAAGGAGGCCAAGGAGACATGACAACTAAATGTAACACCCTGGGTTAGATTCTGGACTAGAAAAAAAAAATTAGAGGGAAAATTTGTAAAATTTATAGAAGGCCTATAAGTTAATGGTATTGTCAACATTTCTGTGTCAATCGTTCATTTTCTTGATTTCAATAATAACATTCATGTGTAAAATTTAACACTGGGGGATCTAAGTAAAGGGTGTATATAAACTCTGTACCTTTTTCAGCATATTTCCTAAAAGTTTTAAATTATTTCAAAATAAAAAGTTCAATAAAAAAATGCATGAATAATCAAACTGCCAATTTACTGGTTTCATCTGCCAGTTTAAGGAAATTCAGAGGACGCAAGAGATACAATCGGAAAAATCCAGATTGTTTCTCCCAGGCCCAGTTTCTTGAACAAATTTCTTTAACAAATAAATTACAAATGCATTGAAAAAGACTCTTAAGAGACATGTAACCAAGCCCTATATGAGGATTTTATTTGGACCCTGACTCAAGTAAACAAACTGGATGAAAAAAAGATTCTGATTTTTTAACTGTGAATATCAACACTGACTACGTAGATATATGATGGCTTTAAAGAATTATTCTCTTCTTTTAGATGGTGCTGTGGTCATTTTTTTAAAAATCATTGTAATTTAGAGATTCGCCTGTAATATTTAGAGTTGAAATAGTATAATACCTGGGATTTGCTTCAGAGTAGTGAAGGAAAATGAATTCAGGGAAATAAATGGAATGTAAATGAATCTACTGGCCATGAGCAAATAACTGTTGAAAGTCCGATATACTATTCCACTTAGTTTTGTATATGACTTATATTTTCCACACTAAAAAAATATATGTATGTGTGTATATGGATTTCTGTTTCTGCTCCTCAGAGTGCTGTTATGGGAACTGCACTTCCACCATAAAGTGAAAGAAAACTGCAAATATGTTTAGCAACTGTTTCCAGATATTGGATTCCTGAGAAAGCAAAAACAAGCAAGGGGAGAAGAGCGCTAGGATCACTCCAGCTTACTGCCTGGGGGCAGCTTTCCCAGCCACAGCACAGAGAGGGGAGCACAAACAGCATGGCAGGCCCCCTGAAGTGAGGAGACAGAGATCCAAGTTCAGGAAGGTCCAGCAGCTAGATCTGGGGGACAGCATGGGAGAAGAGGGAGCTGTGCAGAGAGTTTCAGAGATCTGCAGAGGGGACCTACCCCCAACCCCCACCCCACCAAGTCTCTGGTTGGACTCATCTCATGAGGCCAGAAAGCAGTACCAGGAAGTAGTTGGTCTAATAATTTGTGGAACTTCCAGTCTCCACCAGCACTGGTGGAAAGAACTCGTAACACACAGGCATTTGGGGGTCCTCAGAAGGGGTACACCAGAGCAGTGGGGCTAAATTAGCACTAGATGAGAGACTGCTCTAAACCTCCACTAAAAAATGATTAAAAGCAAGCTGAAAGGACCTAGCTGACTCTCAGTAGTTTACCTGCATGTCAGAACAAACGCCAACACTATTTTTAAAAAGTACCTCAAGAGCCAGCAACTGAAAATGTAAGATTCACAAAGTCCAGCATCCAAACAAATGTTATGAATCACACAAAATAAAGAGGAAAATATGACTCAAAACCAGGAGAAAAATAATCAACATAAATGATAGAGATAATGGAACTAGCAGACAAGGACTGGCTATTATAACATCTGTCCAAAAGATGCTTCTGCTCCTCAGAGTGCTGTTATGACCAAGTGAGAAATGAAAGTTACTAAGTCAGCCCCAAATGGGATTTCGAGAGATGAAAAACTAAAATACCTAAAATGAAAAAAAAAATTAACTGGATGGGATTAATAGCAAATTAGTTAGTGTAGAATAAAAGATCAATGAATTTACAGACAAAATAAAAGAATTACTCAAAATGAAGCACACGCAGAGAAAGTCTGAAAAAATGAACAGAACATTATTGACCTATGGGAATAATACCAAGCTATCTAACATAGTGTAGCCAAAGGGCAAGAATTTAAAAAGGGTGGTAGGTCTGTAAAAATATTTGAAGAATTAATGGCCAAATGTTTTCAAATTTGATGAAAACTATAAATCCACCAATCTAAGAATCTTAACAAACCCAAAGTGGAATAAGCCTAAAGAAAACTGCAGTACAGTATATCATAATCAAATTGCTGAGAACTAGTGATAAAGAGAAAAACCTTAAAAAAGAGCCAGAAGGAAAAGAAGACACACCACATTTAGAGAAACAAATACAACAATAGCATGCTCCTTGACCAGAACCCACACAAGCAGAAAACAAGAGAGACACCTTTAAATAAGTAAAAGGAAAGACATGTAACACCAGCATGTATTACCCAACAATACATCTAAAAAATAACAATAAGCACTTAGGATATAGATAACTAGAAATAGTCACTAATATCCTTACAATAAAAGCTAGATGATGGGCAAAAACAGAACTTTTGCTAAAGTCATCAGAGAGCTGGGAGTGCAGGATAACCAAGTGACCTGAAATCAAGGAAAGAAGCCACCTCCAAGGAGAGGTGGAGTAGAAGTTCCTGCTTACCTGGGGTAGATGCCAGACTCCATATAAGTCAGTAAAGTTTTCTAAAATTTCTAACAAGTTGCTAAAGGAAACCCCAACTTCTGAAATACAATAGTTTTTGTTTTCTAGGACTTTTAATATAACTGAGAAATGATTACTAGCTATAGGCATTCATTACTCTAAAAAATCAATGTATAAAACAAGATAAAAATGTTTAGTTTTTTTAAAGATTAATATATATAACAAACAAGCATTTGCTTATAAACTCCCCACCAGGCACTAAAACATTTCCATTTAGGTAACACTGGTCCTCCAGCTCAGTTCAAATCAGTCAGTGTTACTCTCATACATCTGAAATCAAGATGAGATGTATACATGGACGAGAGGTAACAACTCAGAAAGAGAAAAGGACAAATTTGGTGTCTCTATAATTCAGCACAAGACTTGAGAAATGTCCTTAAGAACTGAGACATCAGTGGCTAGTACTGGAAATGAGTCTTCAGGACAAGGCTGTTAAGACTGTAAATTTCAGTTTTTTATCAAGATGGGCAGGTAATTTAAATAAATTTAAATATTTTTAAAAATTTCTTTAAAATAAATGGGAGTGCTGAGTTAAAAATAATAGCCACCACATCTTACTACACTCACAGAGAGTGCCTGCATTGGGGTATGGGTGGGGACTTGATAATATGGGTAAATGTAGTAACCACACTGTTTTTTCATGTGAAACCTTCATAAAAGTATATATCAATAATACCTTAATAAAAAATAAAAAATAAAAAGAACTATGAATTAACTAAAAGTAATCCCACTTATCCTATTCTCAAATATATTCCTTACATAAATACAGGGTTTGAAATAATGAATTCACTGCATTAGAGAACACTGTAATGTGGTTAAATTCTTACATGAGACACCAATATGTTTACCTCACACTTAAGAGCAAATCCTTTTTGTTTCAATCTCAAATTCAGCAGGCCCATGATAACTAACTATATAAGAGGCAAAAAAAGACACCACCACCGTCCCTCCTCCAGCGCAGTGTACTGGGCCCCCTGCCACTTTCTAGCTGTGTACCTTAGGCAAAGGGTTTAACCATCATGCACTTCAGTTTACACGTGTATCAAATGAGGAAAATAAAGCTTGCCTCGTGGAGTTGTTATGAAAATCAGACCAGTATGTAAAGGGGGTGGCCCCAAGCCTAGGCATCAAAACCCAAATCAACGATTCAAAGAGGCTCAGGGCCAACAAAGTGATGTTCACTGAATGGCTACTGTGCACTAAGCTCTGTGCTAGAAGCTCACGTCTAGTAGAGAAAAGGGGAGCTGCTGAGGGCACACTGCCCCAGGCCCTGCCTTGTCTGAGACTAGAAGGAAGACCCATGAAACCCTCTACTAACCTTGGACATATCGCAACTCTAGCGCTCAGGCTGGGAAGCAGGCTGGTGGACCAAAAAGCAATTCTAATATAAATCTTAAAAATTACAAGAACTTTTCACAGAAAGCCTCCAAAATCAGCACTGAATCCTCTTTCAGTGTCATTCCCTTCAAATATGCCAAATACCTTCTTCCTTGCTGACCTCTGAATACTACTGTTCTTATTTTTCTGGTGTGGTACACAGCCTACAGAGCCCTTTCATACGGGCAGTGTCAACGATGTAATGGGATGATCTCACCGATAAATGGCAATGTTGTGGATTACTCACAATCATAAATAATGTTTCAAATTCATGTGAAACAGTAGTAAGAGGGTGAAGAATCCTTTATCTACTTAAATCTTGGGAAATTAATTGGACTGATGCCTAAAAGCACATAAGCAAGATAAGTGGTACAATAAAATCTGCTAGCCTTCCCCTCCTTCTAAGATTTTATCACAGATCCAGTGAAATGCAATTTCACTCAGCACAGAGATGCATTGGGGATCTCTCTCACTCTAACAATGAGACCCGACCATGGCAATGTACTACTAGTCCCACTCTTAAATGACACAAATACGCAGATCTCCTAAAGTCCAGTGTCCTAGCTACTGCTGGTATACCCACTACCCTGGCAATTTACAAGTGTCAGGACTCTGTTCCTGCGTACCCTTCCTCTCCCATGAGCTCTTATGCCTTCCAGTCCCATTTTCTGTGCCTCAATTCCTGAATCTAATAAATACACAGAACTATTCTCCCTCTTACCTCCTTACAATGCAGGGAGTTTTATGCAAAGAATAACACAATCTTTGTCTTTAGTTAATGGAAAGTGCTGATCTGCACCACATCTGACACCCTTCTTAGAAGACATCTTTGGCTCACCTCCAGTTTCAATGCAAGGATATGATGGAGGAGGTTCTCTCCAGTTCCCACTGGAATCTTTCATGTGAGATCGGTCAGAAGCAAAGTTCTTCAAATAGGAATCTGCGCGGATCACTCTAAATTTCCTGTAGATAAATCAACATTCATTTACATGAGAAAGATTTCACAGTTGAAATTCTAATTCAATTGTTATATAGACTCATTTTTTATGGCATGCGCAAAATAACCCAGGCATTTTTGTACTATTACTAATATACAAATAGATATGTAGCCTTATCACCTGTTAAGTCAAGAGAAATGATCAGCAGAAATCTAAAACTACAAAGGCACAGAAATAAATATGTCTGGTTGCCTTTATTTAGTCAATTGTATACCTGGGACAAAGGGTGTAATTTTCAGGTACTGCTATCACAGGCCTCTCAATTTTGGCATCCTAAGGCATCCTACTCCCACAATCCCCCCACCACCCCCACAACTACATACAAGAGTGTGAGAAGAATCCTCAAAATGACTCTAAGAAAATGTCGGGGATCTCATCACACAAATTTTTAAAAGACTGCCAACCTTTAAAACCTCAAAATATTTTGAATATTCTGTATAGCACATCATTTTCAAATGATGACAGTAATGCCAAGCCAAGAGATCTTTACAAAACAAATGCAAACACACACACACACACACACACACACACACACACACACACACACACACACACACAAATTCTGTATAACTGTCACAGTCTAACTTCAAGACAGTAGGTAAATTCATTCTGGATCTACTCACCTTCTAAATTGTGGATGGATGTCCTCATCGGACTTAAAGGCATCTTCCACATAAGTGTCAAAGGGACAGGGAAATGGTAGGACAGTGTCGAGATCATAAATGAAGCTCTGTCCTCCACTTGAAACATGAAGCAAGACAACATGGTAATCCTAGAATTAAAAGTTGCTGAAGTTAACCATGTTATTTTATGATGATGAATTCCAGTTACAGTAACAATGCATATATTATCATCAAAAATGACACAAGACTAGTAGATGAATGGATAAAGATGATGTGGTACATACACACAACGGAATATTATTCAGCCATAAGAAAACAAATCCTACCATTTGCAACAACATGGATGGAGCTAGAGGGTATTATGCGCAGATAGAGAAAGACAAGTACCAAATGATTTCACTCATCTGTGGAGTATAACAACAAATCAAAGATTGAAGGAACATAACAGCAGCAGATTCACAGAACCCAAGAATGCACTAGCAGTTACCAAAGGGAAAGGGGTTGGGGAGGGTGAGTGGGAAAGGAGGGATAAGAGAATCAAGGGGTATTATGATTAGCACACATAATATGGGGGTGGGGAGGCCACAGGGAAGGCAGTATAGCACAGAGAAGATAAGCAGTGACTCTATAGCATCTTACTATGTTGATGGACAGTGACTGTAATAGGGTATGAGGTGGAGACTTGATAATAGGGGGAATGCAGTAACCACAATGTTGCTCATGTGAAACCTGAGCATAAGACTGTATATCAATGATACTTTAATAAAAAAATGATACAATACTAATACAGCCCTTCTTATAACAGCAAAATAAAGCAAACACAAAATCCTGAAAAAAGACAAAATGTACAGTGACAGGGTAAAGTTAAGCAGTAGTGGAAATGTTTGTATGTATTCAATGTATACCCTTTGACCCAGCAATTTTACCTCTAGAAATCCATCCTACAGAGAAACGGCCTTTTGGACGTAAAGGTTTATATACAAAGAAAACCTCTGTCGCACTTTATAATCCTGAATATTCAGAAGCAACCAAAATTCCACCAAAAGAAGAATGGAAGTCCAGGCCTGAAGTCCAGTATCCTAGCAGTAGGTATACCCACTATCCTGGCAGTTTGCCAGTGTCATGACTGCTCCTGAATATCCTTCCCCTCGCATGAGCTCTCATGCCTTCCAGTCCTGCTCTCAGTGCCTCAATTCCTGAATCTAATAAATACACAGAACTATGAACCACGAGGCAGCCATATGACAGAACTATGCAGCAGCTAAAAAGAATTAGGTACATTTATGTGGAAAACGAAAAAACATTCCTATTACATGGTTGGATAGAAAAAGCAAATTGCAGAATATGTATTCTATTATTTTTTAAAAGCTGTGAGTATATTAAGACACATATTTGCATTCACAATACAAATGCATGAATATGTAGACAGAGGCAGAAGTCTAAAGGATATCCTTCAAAATATTAACAGAGGGGATGGTTGAGGTTAGCCTGGAGACAGGAAGGTCATTAAAATGTTGTTTCTAAATCAGCCAAGCCCTAATCTATAGCCATTAAGAAGGATAAAGATAGCTTCTCCTGCACAGCTCAGTCACAGTGCCTATGTGAATTCCCATTCTCACTCTCAGACACCGAGAACTGCCCAACACTAAATGTTCAAGCTAAGGACTGGAAGGGATGTCAGGGAGGTTATCAAGGGACATGAAGGCAGTGTGGTGCTTTGAATGCCTCAGAAGAAAAATGCAAAATGCTTTCACAGAGAACAGTACAGTGAGATGGAAAATTTCAATCATCTCTGTAGAACATGAAGCTTTGAATGCCTCAGAAGAAAAATGCAAAATGCTTTCACAGAGAACAGTACAGTGAGATGGAAAATTTCAATCATCTCTGTAGAACATGAATAATACCACTGAACATTTCTAAAACTTCAGAGCTTACAAAGCACTTTCTCAAATGTGAATGCATTTGACCCTGTGTGTTGGGGAAGATAACTGAGACTGCAGATGTTGTACTGGAAGGACTCAGGCCTGAGATCCAGTCCACTGATCAGCTAGATGACCTTGAGCTACTTAAGACTTTCTGGGCTAGTTTCTTCAAATGAAAAATGAGAGGGTTGGAACAGATCTGTTTTTTTCAAATGGTGGTCACGTTCACTTGGGAATTTGCTAAGAACACTAACTTCTGACCCCTTCTCTAGATCAACTAAATCAGAAATCTGTATTTTTAACAGTCTCCAGATAATTCTAATGTACATCTGGACTAGACTTTGCTAAAGTTCCTTACAATGTTAAATGGTAACAATCTAGGAGATTACAAATGCATCTGCAACATCAGACATTTAAAATCATTCCTAGGGGTGAGTGGGTAGAAAGGGTGAGGGGGTTAAATGGGCACAAAAACCTCAATCATAATATAAGTTGGTCACAGGGATGGAAGTGCAGCATTGAGAAATAGCCAGTAGTTCTCTAACATATTTCTATGTTGACAGATAGTAATTGCACTGGTTGAAGTAAGGATTCAATAATGTGTGTAACTCGCTGAACCACTGGGTTATATACTTGAAACCAATATAAGATTGTGTATCAACTATACTTCAATTAAAAATAAATAAAATCATTCTAGAATAATTTCAAAAGTGAAAGAAAATAGAACACTAGGAACAACAAATGCTGGCAAGGATGTGGAGAAAGGGGAACCCTCCTACACTATTGGTGGGAATGTAAATTCATTCAACCATTGTGGAAAGCAATATGGAGGTTCCTCAAAAAACTAAAAATAGAAATACCATTTGACCCAGGAATTCCACTCCTACATATTCACCCTAAAAAACAAGATCCCATATTCAAAGACATATGAACCCTATGTTTATCGCAGCACTATTTACAACAGCCAAGATACGGATGCAACCTAAGTGTTGATCAGTAGATGAATGAAGATGTGGTACATATACACAATGGATTATTATTTAGCCATAAGAAGAAAACAAATCCTACCACTTTCAACAACATGGATGGAGCTAGAGGGTATTATGCTCAGTGAAATAAGCCAGATGGAGAAAGACAAATATGAAATGATTTCACTCATTTGTGGAGTATAACTACAAAGCAAAACTGAAGGAATAAAACAGCAGCAACTCAGACTCCAAGAAGGGACTAGAGGTTACCAAATGGGATGGGGTGAGGAGGGTGGGTGGGGAGGGAAGGAGAAGGGGATTGAGGGGCATTATGATTGGCACACATGGTGTTTGCGGGGAGGTCACAGGGAAGACAAGTGTAGCACAGAGAAGACAAGTGGTGACTCTGTGGCACCTTGCTACGCTGATGGACAGTGACTGTGGTGTGGTGTTGGGGGGTACTTGATAATATGGATGAATGTAGTGACCACAATGTTGCTCATGTGAAACCTTCATAAGATTGCATGTCAATGATACCTTAATAAAAAGAAAGAACAGAATAATGTATATTCTCAAAAGATCACTTTATTAATAAATATCATAGGCTTTCTCTACTGTTCTATATTTCTGCTTTGCCAAAGTATAAAGACCACTCAGGGATTACAAGTAGTATGCATCAGAGGCTCTTAGTGTTGACCATCTTACCCATATCACAGGTCCATCTCCAGGTCTTGCCTGTTGTTTCCAGATAGGTATCTACAAAATGCAGTAAATTCCATAAGCCACAATTTCCATTAAACCACTACTGAATTCTTTAAAGCAACACATAAATGAAAAATAAAATATTTCTAAGCAACCAACAATCAAGGTGAAAGAATGAAGAAATCTAAATCTTTCCAAGTGTGCTTAACAATGGAAAGAGCAAAAATTAATTAGGAATCAGAAGGATTGACAGTTCAAGTCTTGCTCAACCATTTAATTATTTGTGGGACCTCCCCATAATTTCATTCACATCTATAAAACAGAGACAGCTGTCTAAGCATTGCCTACTTAACAGTGTTTCCATTAAGACCAAATGTGATGATGCCTGCAAATGAGATGGTGCTTTACAAAACAGGAAGGGCTTACTTTTTTTACTACTTATTAAGTTTATTGTAGTTCACTTTAAACTGCAGACATAAAAAAGTCTTTACTTCAAACCTGAGTATGAGGCACAAACCTAAGCAATTAAAAAATCTCTAACTTAATACCTACAGAAATGGGACTTCATCTGTGTAAACATACCATCATCTATTTCCTTACCTACAAGTAAGGAACTAAACTCTTCTGGCTCAACAATGCCCTGGAAGGAAAAATAATCTTATTCAAAAAACAAACTAAAATATTGCTGTTTTTAGAAAGCACATTTCACAACAGTGCTAAACCCATGCTCTACTAGTTCCTAAATTTCTTGTTTTCTTTCTATAGTCTCTCACAAACTTACCATCTTCCTCTCATTAGATATGAAGACGGCATAACACTCTTCTAAAGGATACTGGTCATGGTTTTTGATGTATTCACAGAGCTTCCAAATATTTTCTTCACTGAAATAAAATAATAGTTTAATCAATATAATTAAGCAATAACATTTTGGGTCTTTCAAGTTTAAACAAAAGACTGATGATGACATAAGAAAGCTGGAAGAGGCTTTAAAGACATCTTATCCAACAACTGGCTAACGTTTTAACCTATTCCAAAATATTCCCAACAGAGTGTTGCCCAACCAATACTGTGTATGGACCTCTCTTCAGACACAGAGCTCATGACCTCCCTCAGCAGTGCTTACACAGGGAGGCATTTTATAACTGAGAAAATGTTGTCAATACTCTATAAACTTTCAGTCAAGGGACTTGAGATTCAGCTGGAATTTCAGTTCAGCCACTTACAAGAAGCTTTAAACATCTTGATGTGTCTGCCTGCTTTTCTCATCTGTAAAAATGGGCATAATCACATCATACTATGAACATGATAAATCTTAGTTAACATTAGTTCCTTGCTCCCCCTAGGAATGGGGCAGGAGGGTGTTTTGGGTAGGAGGGCTCCTGGCTGGAAAGGATTGAGGCAGTTATATGATTTATACAGGAATTCTTTGGGAGAATCTCCTGTGAGTGGGATTCCCCAAGCTCCTCTGGTATGCAGGAGGTCCTGACTTTTAGAAAGTTCTTTTTCATACTGAACTGAAACCCATCTTCCTATACTTCTGTCCTAGATGAATCTCTCTTCTACACGACAGGCCATTAGCTATTTGAAGCGGGAGTCAGAACCACCAAAGTAAAGCAATATTCAGTACATCAAACCAAGCCACACTGGCAGCCACAGCCACACTCCTGCATGGTCAAAAACAGTCACTGGGAGCAGTATTTGCAGCTCAGCCTCTGGGTTCCTGTCTTTTTCTAGTGAGCCACACAGTAACTTTGCTCGAAATGAGTATATCAACACTCTCTCACACACATGATGCAATCTGTCAAAGCCTAATTTCCAGCCATCTACACAATGGTACCTGAAAATGAAGCAAGTTATGAACAGCACTGAGGACTGTCACCATTTTATGGAAATACACACTTTTAATTCAGTCTTGACCTTGTCTACCTGTATCAATGCTCCATACTACTAAGCTTAAAGTACTGAAGCTGAACATCTGAATTTTTCTCCATGATTTGTTTTTTCTCTAAAATACCTAAGAAACCTTACGGAAAAAGTGGTGGTAGAGGTAACAATAGGAGATTGCTGTTGACTACTTCCACAAGATATTTAGTATGGAGTAACAAAAATCTATTTCAATAGGACATATAACACATAGTAGCTGATTTTTTTTAATCCACATGTTCTAAGACCAAGTTTTGAGAAGACATTTGTCCAGCTCACTGACATTTTGGAGAGTGGATCACAGACATCTTCAAGAGCCTATGATATATACAGCACCATGCTAAGTGCTTAGAAAATACAATGATAAATTAGAGCCCACAGATGGGAGAGGAGACATGAAGATCCATAAATAAGCAAGAATCATAGAAGGCCATAAAAGATGCACAGAGAAAGCATAGAGGAGGGAGTCATTAATTCTAAGGGATTCAGGAAGATGGAGGAGGGACAGGTTGATGGTTCTCCCCATTTGTTTCCCCTCCCCCATCCCAAGGATGGGCAGAGAGTTAAGCAAAGAGTTTGTGAATCCATTTGTACTACAAGCACTACTGGGGAGCTGAATACATACACAGCTTGGACATACTTTGTCTATTATTTTTCAAATATATGTGGATATTACTCAGAGAAAAAAACTTAGACATCAGAATTACTGAATGTGTAGTCCCTTTATATCAACTTTTTTTTGAGAGTGCAATTAATATCATGTAGGAGGATCTCATTAATCTTCTGATGTTTAAAAAAAAAAGAGGACAACCAAAGCAATCCTGAGAAGGAAGAACAAACGTGGGGAGCTTCTGTTCCCTAACTTCAAGCTCTACTACAAAGCCACAGTAATCAGCTTGGTACTGGCACAAGAACAGACCGACAGATCAATGGAACAGAATACAGAGTTCAGACATAAATCCACACATATATGGTCAGTTAATTTATGATAAAAGATCCATGAACATACAAATGGGAAAAAGACAGCCTCTTCAACAACTGGTGCTGGCAAAACTGGAGTTACAAGTAAGAGAATGAAACTGGATTATTGTTTAACTCCATACACAAAAGTAAACTCAAAATGGATTGAAGACCTGAATGTAAGTCATGAAACCATAAAACTCTTAGAAGAAAACATAGGCAAAAATCTCTTGAATGTAAGCACGAGCAACTTTTTCCTGTACACATCTCCTCCAGCAAGGGAAGCAAAATAAAAAATGAACAAGAGGGACTACATCAAACTAAGAAGCTTCTAAACAGCAAAGGACACTGTCAGTAGAACCAAAAGGCATCCTACAGTATGGGAGAATATATTCATAAATAATTTATCTGATAAGGGGTTAACATCTAAAATACATAAAGGACTCACACCTCAACACCCCAAAAAAATAACCCAATAAAAAAAATGGAGAACCTGAACAGACACTTCTCCAAAGAATAAATACAAGTGGCCAAAAACCACATGAAAAGATGCTCCACGTCACTAATCATCAGGGAAATGCAAATTAAAATCACAATGAGATATCACCTCACATCAGGACAGTCACTATCCAAAAGACAAGAAACAACAAACACTGAGGATGCAGAGAAATAGGAACCCTGCTGCACTGTTGGGTGGGGCTGCAAATTAGTGCAACTGCTGTGGAAAGCAGTATGGAGATTCCTTAAAAAACAAAAAAATAGAAATACCATTTGACCCAGTAATTCCACTCCTAGGAATTTACTTGAAGAAAACACAACCCCTGATTCAAAAAGTTATGTGCACTCCCATGTTTATTGCAGCACTGTTTGTAATAGCTAAGATATGGAAGAAACCTAAGTGTTCATCAATAGTTGAATGGATAAAGGAGATGTACATATACACAAATGAGTATTATTCATCCATAAAAAGAAAAATTTGCCATTTGCAATGACACAAATGGGTCTAGAGGGTATTATGCTCAGTGAAAGAAGCCAGGTGGAGAAAGGCAAATACATATGATTTCACTGATTTGTGGAATATAAAAACAAAGCAAAACAAAATGAACAAACCAGCAGTAAACTTATAGATACTGAGAAGTGGCTGGTGGTTACCATAGGGAAAGGGTTGGATTGGGTGGGAAGGGTGAAGGGGATAAAGGGGCACAAAAATTCTTTATCATATATAAGCTGATCATGGGGATGGTACTCCAGCACGGAGAATACAGCCAATGATTCTGTGACATCTTCCTATATTGACAGATAGTAGTCACACTAGTGGGGTATTTAGTAATATGAGTAACTGTGGAACCACTGTGATGTATATTTGAAACCAATATAAAATTGCATATCAATAAAAATAAAAAATAAAATAAAATAAAAAATAAAAATAAAAATTTAAACAAAGAGGGCCTTATACTTGGCAATGCTGGGAGTCACTGCTGGAACAGAAAGCCCTGGATTTGACTGAGTCCTAGCAAACATTTAACTGGTAGGGAGGAATGATGATAATATCCTAACCTGTCAGTTAATTACTTTGGTAGCAGAAAGTCTAACAAAGCAACATTAGAATATGCAAGGGACAACTGATTCTACAGGTGACCAACTAAGGTCAGAGAAGCATGAAGAGGAGGTCCCTGGCAAACAGCAGGTGCTCAACAGAAGTTTAAAATATATAATTACAACAGAATCAGAAATGCTTTGCAAACCACACAGTGCCACACAATTACTGGCCATAACTGTTACCACGGAGCTGGGTCTTAGAAACTAAGTGGGCATTTACTTCAAATTAAAGAAACTGCAGCAGCAAACATAGGAAGATGTACCTACCTGATATATTCAGAGAGTAGGACAGTAGTTCTCAATCAGAGGCAATTTCCCCTCCCCTACTTAGCAATGTTTGGTTGTTAATCACAAATTGGGGGAGGGTGCTATATAGGCTTCTAGTGGGTAGAGGCCAGGGATGTAGCAA